AGGATGTACTCATTTGCATTCCAGTGTGTGATTCCTTTTCCCCCACAACCTTGCCATCATTTGTTGTTGTTTTGAGTTCCAGTTAATAACATCAAGTAGAAAAAATAATTCTAAAATTTACGTGGCATCAGAAGAGACCCAAAATAGCTAAAGCAATTCTGAGCAACAAGAGCAGAACAGAAGGTGCCACAATCCTAGACTTCTAGTTATGTACTGCAAAGCATATTTTTCTTTGAGTTTTGCTCTGAACACGTTCCCACTGGCTTGAGCCTCCTGTGATAAATGCATGAGTGTCCCGTTATGTGGTACCACTGGTGGTGCAATTGGATCTATTCACTTATATTGGTCTTTTTAATAATAAATTAATAGAATCTATAAATGGTCCAAATCTAGTTGCTTGAATTTGAATAGCTACTGCCCAACTGTAAATATTAATATATTTGTGTCAATTAGAAATTGTTACAACCAAGAAATTTCATTAAAAGAAATGTATATTTGTGAATTTCTTTAAAATATTTTATGTGTAAAGGCAGCTGATTTGTGCAGAGTGTACAAAACAGTGTACAATTTTTTTCCAGCGCTCACTTTTTTCCAGATCATTTTTGAGAACAATCTCTACATCACTTGTGTAGCGACTTTGTCTCTTGTGTATACTTGTGTTTCGTGCTGATCCTAGATAAGCTACTATAAAGTAAATTCTTTTCCCAGTAATTTGTGCATTCTCTAAATTTTCACGTGAACATTGTACAAGTACTCCATTGCTGATGTGTATAATATGCATTTAAAACTGCTGTCCCACAAATTAGCTGCCTTACAGGTTTTAATACCATTTTAATGTTTTTCCAAGGAACTGTAATATGACGGCATATAGTTTGTTAAGTCAACACCTTTTATTGGATTATTGGGATCAAAGGGGATTCTTATAATTATCTTAGATCTTTTTGTTGTTTATTTTTGTTTGATTTGGTTTTGCTTATTTTTTGTTCAGTTTGACAAACTGTTTCAGTTGGATTGTCCGTTTACATTCAATGTGTAGATATGGTTGTGTTTAAGTCTACTATCTGGACACCTTTTTTCATATTCCTTTGTGTCCTTCTTCCATTTCTGCTTTCTTTGGGATTGAGTATTATAATTCTTTTATTATCTGCTATCAGCTTATCTACATTCAAATAAAATTATACTACACAGTGTATATTATAAAACCTTTGTAGCAGTATACTTCCATTCCCTCCTCTCCAGACTTTTTTTTTGCTTTTCTATGTAGTCAGTCTTCCATATCTACTGGTTCTTCATCCATGGATTCAAAATTGCCCTTACAGGAAATGGGTGGAGACTTTTCTTGTCATTGTTTTCTGAGTAATACAATATAACAACTGCTTACATTGTAGTATTATAAGAAATGTAGGGATGATTTAAAATATACAATTACTGGTCATGGTGGCGCAGCTTTAATTTAGCACCCAGGAAGCTAGGCAGGATAATTTCAAATTCAAGGCTAACCTAGGCTACATACTGAGTTCAAAGCTGGCCTGGACTGCATAGTGAGATCCTGTCTCAAAAAAACAAAAATAAATAAATATATGGGAAATTGCATGCAGATTATAATACTGTGCCACCGTTGCACTTTGATCTAAGGTGGGTTCTAGAACCAATCCTCCACAGATACTAAGAGATGACTGTATTTATTTCTCGTTTGTTTTAAAGTTTTAAAAAATTTTTTGTTTGCTTTTTCTTTTTCGGTACTGGGAATTGAAGTCATGACCTCATACTTGCCAAGCAGGTGCTTGTGCTGCTGAGCTATATCCCCAACCCTTGTTTGTATATCTGTTATAAACCCTAAATATATTTTTGATGTTTTTGCTTTAGACAGTTTAATGTATCCCAGATTAATAATGATAGTTTTTTATATACATCATTACCATTTCTATTATTCTTAATTCTTGAATGTCAGTCCATAGTTTTATCATTTGGTGTTACTTTTCTTCCTGAAGAACTTTTTAATATTTCTTGTAGTATTCTTCAGGTAAATTGTCTCAGCTTTTCTTGATCTGAAAAAAAAGGAAAAGCTTTATGTTCTATATTTTCACTCCGTTCTTTTTTTTTTTTTTTTTGGTCTTTTTGAGACAAGGTCGCACTATGCAGTTCAGGCTGGCTTTGAGCTCCCTTTGTAGCCCAGGCTGGTCTTTTTTTTTTTTTTTTTTGGTTTTTCTCCGGTACCGGGAACCGAACTCACGACCTTGCGCTTGCCAGGCAGGCGCTTTTGCCGCTGAGCTAAATCCCCAGCCCCTCCCAGGCTGGTCTTGAACTCAGAATGATGCTTCTGCCTCGGCCTCCCGAGTGCTGGGATTATAGGCATGCGCCCCCAGCCTGGTTTTTACTTCATTCTTAAAAGATACTTTTGACTGTATTAAATTGTAGGTTTACAGTCCTTTTTTCATGTAATACCTAAAAGATGCCACTCCATTGTCTCTATTGCAGTTTCTGATGGAAAATATTCTTTTAGTCTCCGTTATTGTATAGCTAATATCTTTTTCTTAACACTGACTATAAAGATAATATTTATTATTAATCTTTATCCAGTGAATAATGATAAGCCATGGAATGATTTACTTTGCTTTTTTGTGCTGTAGGTTTATTGAGATTTACTGAGGTCTTCTGTGGCTTTGTTTCGGTCAGATTTGGGACAGATTTCAAATATTTTCCCTCATTTTTGGAGGGACTCTAATTATAGGTACTGTATGTTTAGCTTCTTAATACTGTCTTAAAAGTCACAGATCTTTCTTACTTATTTACTACTTATTTACTATTTGGATTGAACCCAAGGCCTTAACATTAAGCTATGTCCCTAACCCTTCTTATTTTGAGGAAAGATCTCACCAAGTGTTAACTTGCTCAGCTTGGGCTTGAATTTGCAATCTTCCTACCTTGACCTTCGAGAATGCTGGCATTACAGATGTGTATCACCATGCCTGGCTTCTGTTCTTACTTGTATTTCTTACTGCCTTTTTTTTTTCTCATTTAATTTTCATTGTTTCTATTGCTACATCTTCAAACTCACTGAGTTTTTTCTTTGCAATATATAATCCATTTTCAATTCCATCCATGTATTTTTCATTTCAAATAGTGTATTTTTCATATTGATTTCGTGTGGGCCTCTTTTAATTCATTTCTTTCCTCATACTCATGTTTTTCTCTGGCTTCTTCAGGATTTGGAGCACACATACACATTTTAATAACAGATATTTTAAAGTCTTTGCCAATTTCTTCCCTTGTACCACGTCTAAGTTTGTTTCTGTTACTTTTTTCTTCTGGTCACATAGTATAAAGGTCTTTCTTCTGTGGCTGGTGAAAACATGAGTTATTATCAGCAGTGTGTGTGGTGAGGAATTTCCTGTCTGATATATATTTTAGTATCCTTTTCCTGGTCTAGGATAATGTTTTTCTCATACATGGAATGGATCATTTTTTTAGCCAAAAGCTCTCATTGTCTTTCTTTTGTTGAGGCTCCCTAATGTTTGATAGTCTGCCCTACAAATCAGAGCTATCTTGCCTTCCCTAGACTCCTGTCTTTGTCTTCCTCAGTTCAAGCTGTTAGGGTTACTTCACTGTAGCTTGGGAACCGCATGCCTTAAGCTGGGGATGATATAAGGCTCTTCTAGCTTGTTTCTTTCAGTTACCAGAATACTGTCTGTTACATAGTATCTGAAACCGTTAACACATTTATCTTATTTTTGGTTAAGTTAGATTAAACCTAGTCTATTCCACTCTCATAATCAGAAGTAGAAATCTTCTTACAGTTTTGCTTTATGTTTTTTACTTTTCAAAAATTTTTATCAGTACACAGGTACAGTACTAATTGTTTTCTAGTGGTGAAGGTAAACATACTTTATACATAATTTCAAGATAATGTGTATATCGTCTTTTGAAGAACTTTTACTGTTTTATGGCCAGTCCATTTTTTTCGGTAGTACTACTTGTCTTTTCTGTGTCATTGGGGGGGGGAGCTTTTTAATATGCTAGGGTTAGTAACTGTCTATATTATAAAATTGGAATTCTTAGCACTAGAGCACTGGGTAGGTGCTGGGCTGTGAGGAAGATTCCTCTTGCTGTGAGATGTTTGAATAGTAGTTGAGCTAAGAGCTGCTGTTTTAGTCAATATTATTCATTTTAAGGTTTCAAGTAGTAGAATGGTAAGATGCATGAATGTTCTTCCAGGTAGCTACAGGATTCATTTTTACCTCCCTCAGAACTCTGCTCAAGCATTCTTTTATCTGAGAAGGCTTCTATTTAAAATCGTAACATTCTCACACTCCCTTCCTATTTTTTATTCCTCTCCTTTTCTTTTTCTCTGCAGTGGTTATCACAGTATGGTATAATAGATATTTTTACTAATTTATGTTACTTACCGGGCTCTGAGATGCAGGTGGCATGAAAGGAGGGATTTGGGGACTTTAATAGCACATAGTGTTGCTTAATAAGTATTGGTTCAGGTTTTCCTTTATATAGGTCATTCTAGGACAAAGTGAAAGGAATTGGGAAAGGTAGCAACTTGAGAAAGAAGCAGTGGTGCAGGTCCTGTCGCAGCGGTCTGTGCGTATTGACGGTGAATATGAAGAGAAAGCCATTAGAAAGGAGGGGGATAGGGGCTGGGGATTTAGCTCAGCGGCAAAAGTGCCTGCCTGGCAAGCGCAAGGT